GTGTCGTAATCTTGCGGAGATTCATTCGGCCACATACTTGAAGAAAGCTTGAGCCACTCGGGGCCTTGCCACCACAGTAAGCTCTCCGCGAACGAGGAAGCGGTGACTCCACGGGATGCTAGATCCGCGGGATTCTGATGAGTCGGAACATGATGCCACGTGGCATCAGGCATTAGAGTTTGCACATCGTGCACGCGATGCGCGACAAACGTTTTCCATCGAGATGGAGATTAGCTTAGCCAAGCGAGAGTGACGGTTGAATCCGTCCAGCAATGACATGGAATTGTCGAAAGTTCTAATGTCGTTCTGGCAAACGACATTGTTCGTGCTAAAAGCGCAGCAGCGCATAGTTCGAGTCTTGGAATTGTCAAGGGCTTAAGAGGCGCGACTTTTGATTTTGCTATTAATAGCGAAATAGTAACTGATCCCATGAGCGAGATCACTTTAAGATATATGACAGCGGCGTATGCGACGGATGATGCGTCAGCGAAGCCGTGAAGCTCACAGTGACTTATGTCGGAACCGAAGGCAGTCCATCGTGGCAGAGAGATATTACGCAGTTTAATTAGCTGCGTGTCATAATTGTGCCATTTTTTCATGAGAGTGGGATCATCCCACGAACACTTAGTAGCCCACAATTGTTGCATGATAATTTTAGCAGTAATTATGACCGGAGCAAGCCACCCGAGCGGGTCAAATAATTTTGCTATAGTAGACAGAATTTTCCGTTTAGAATCTGGGATCGACGTGGTAACTTCGACTGAAAATTGGAATGTATCGGTAGCAGGGAGCCACGTGACGCCTAAGACTTTGAAACTTTCGTCGCTTTGCAGAATTTTGCCTTGACTGAGACTCTTTTCATTGACCGGTAGGTCGTTGAGTAACGGAGGGCAGTTGCTTGCCCACTTACGGAGGAGAAATCCACCTTTTTGTAACAATTAAATTAATTGATTGCGGATTTGCCTTGCAAGCGGCTTGTCATCCGCGCCGAAGATGCAATCATCTACATAGATTTGATTGCGTAAAACTGATTGAGCAAGAGGAAATTGAGCGCCTTCGTCTTGCGTCAATTGCTGAATCGTGCGAAGAGCGAGGTATGGAGCACACGCCATACCGTAAGTAACAGTAAGCAAGCGGTAGTCTTGCACCGCTTCGGATGATGAAGAGCGCCATAAGATGCGCTGATAATCTTGATCTCGCGGATCGACTTGAATCTGCCTATACATTTTTGCGATATCGGCAGTGAAAACATAACGATGTTGTCGCCATCGAAGAATTACCGAACGAAGGTCGGTTTGTAACTTAGGACCGATCATGAGATGATCGTTAAGTGAAGAGCCGTTCAATGTCGACTGAGATGCATTGAACACGACGCGCAACCGCGTGGTACTGCTATGCTCGCGAATCACCGCATGATGCGGAATGTAAACTGATTGTGAAGCAAAGACGGGTTCGTCTACTTTCTTCATATGACCGAGGTTTTCGTATTCCAGTAGGAACTCTCGACATTCGGATGCGATATCCCTTGTATTTTGAAGACGGCCTTCAAGCCGTGAAAGAAGTGATGAGGCGATGTGACGAGATTCGCCTATTGCAATCGGAGGATTGGCTTTGAACGGTAGCCGTACGACGTACCGTCCATTCGAGTCACGAGAATGAGTAGCTCGGAAATGTTCCTCACAACGTTGTTCCTCAGGAGTGAGGTATGACACTTGCGGAAGTTCTTCGACTTCCCAGAACTGACGAATTTCGTCATCGAGATTGTCGTGCAACGTGGTATGATTAACTGTCACGTTAGACATGTTTGAAGACGAACTCGTCGAAATCGGACCAGACATAATCCAGCCGAAAATGGAATTCTGAGCTGTTGGCTGATTAGAGGAACCTGAGCACAGGCCCGGTAACAGAACAGCACCGTATAGATCAGCGCCGATGATCATTTCGATCGGATCGGCACTTGAGGGCTGCGGATCAGCCCATGGCAGGCCGCTTAAATGAGCGAGAGAGATTTGATATGCTATTTTAGGCGGCGTGTATTTAGTCAGAGAGCGCATAATAATTGCGGTCGTTGAGTATGACGGACCCTTGCCGGTCTTAGATGATACCGAAATAAGAGCAGCATGTCGTGCGACGGATTGCGTTTCACCGATTCCGGTAACCGAGACAGCAACGCGTGTTCGCGATAACCGTAGCCGTTGAGCGAGATTTTCACTAATTAAACTAGTGACAGATCCTTGATCTAACAATGCGCGTATGACATCTGTGCGACCAGACGAAGAACACACCTGAATCCGCGCGGTAGCTAATAGAACACGAGATTTGTCAAATGTTGTTTTCGTAATTAAATGTGAAACGACGTTGTTTTCATTTGACGTATTCGTTTCGTTGGATTCAAGGGAATTCTCGGTCGCGCTTGATGTCGTCGCTTCGTGAAGCATCGTATGATGCCTTTGTTGGCATTGACGACAGTTATGTTTACTCGGACATGTGTTCGCGAAATGTCGAGCGCTTAAACAGTTGAGACATCGTTTAAATTTGACAATAAGATCGCGACGCTCGTTAACCTGTTTCTTCTTGAAATCAGGACATACTGACAAGAGATGATCTTGTTTACAAAGCGGACAATGAGCTCCGGTAGCGGTCGTCGTGTGACTTTGCACGGACGACTTGCTCGGTTTTGTTTTGACCGTACTGGTCGTTGGAATATTCTCGAACGCTCGAATTCGCGATGCGAGAAAGTTATGAAAATCCGTGTACGACGGATATTCCATTTTATCGCCTAAATGTAATTCCCATGCTTTACGCGTGGCTTTATTTAATTTTTGCACGACTAGATAGACGAGCAAATCGTCCCACCACTCAACTGGACGACCGAGATTTTTTAACGCTTGAATTGACATATTAGCTTTATCTCGAAGCGACATAAGATCCTGCGCGGAATCGGTATTAACGGCCGGTAGCGTATGAAGCGTATGAATATGTTCCGACACTAATCGACGTTTATCATCGTAACGCGCGAGCAGTACATTCCACGCGATTTTAAAATTAGCTTCGGTCAAAGGGAGATTACGCAACGCGTCGCGTGCTTCGTCCTTTAAACATGAATAAAGGTATTGCAAGCGCGTAACATTCGACAACTCGGCATGATCGATAATCATGGAGCGGAATTGATCGCGAAACGTTTCCCATTCCCGTAAATCGCCGGAGAATTTCGGCAAATTAATGCGCGGTAATGTAAGAGTTTTTTCGGATTTCTGTGATTGACTCACGGATAACCCTGGACTTGATGGCGCTTGATCTGCTTCGAGAGAGGCGAGGGCGTCGGAGATGTAGTCCGATGCTGCGAGATAGGCGTCCTCCAATTCGATGTAGACATCCTCTTTGAAGTATTTCTCGGTATCCTTTTGTTCCTTGGTTGCGACTTTGAGCAGTTGTGCGTGCAGGAGCTCGCATCGAGCGTAAGTCTCCTTGAGAGTTTGAAGGCGATTCCGAACTATGCCGTACGTGTGATTTGCACGGCCGATCTTCTTAAAGTTTTCCAATGCGCGTGTGACAGAGCGCATAGCTAATCGCTGCTGCGATAGTAATTCTTCCATAATGAGTTTGAGAGGTTTCCGTAACTTGGTATGCTCGAAACGGAAATCTTGCGATGTGCCACGTCACTTACGTTCACGAAAGTGAACGAAGAGTCACAATGTCCCTTGTTGTTTATCCGCCACGAATCCGGCTCGAAGGACCAGAATGTTCGTGTTTGTTTGAATCGCTGCTTCGATCTCGACTGAGATCTCAAATGACGGAATGGATTTGTGGACTGGAAGATTGAGACCACTGAGCACTCCTCTTTTAACTTGTTGTATGCAAGCTTTGTTCACAAAGTAAACGAAGTGTTATTCGCGTGGCACGGCGAGAGAGACGATTAACTGCGGTTAATACGCCGATACTTATCCACGACGGTAGCCGTGATAAAACGTACAAAGTAACGAGTCGCGGTAGCGAACCCGTAGAAAGAAAGCTGCTGCTTTCAACGAGTAATTTGAGAGCACAACTTGACACGGCAAGTACTGATTTGTGTCTGATGGTAGAATCGCGCTGCGCGATTAGCGCGACGAATCGGCAGGACGACAGCGACATCGGTATCCAAATATGCGGCTAAATTGTAGTAATGATATTCGCAAGACGGCGCGGTGAGTGCGACGAAAGATTCACGGACAGAATCGATGGATGGCGCAATCGATCCTTTATTCGGCTTTTGTAGCGCGAAACTTATCCTATTCCGGAACAAAAAGAAAATAATACAATAATCGCAAAAAGAGAATAAAGAATAAGTAACACAATAATCGCAAAAAGAGATAAAAATAATTAATAATGTCGCACATTCGTTTGTGCGCTCGCCCGTTGACCCTGAAGGACCCAGGATCTCGCATTGTGCTATTTTTCTGGGTGACTGACAAAATGTCACGTCACAGTATATAACAGTTTTTTATAAAATAATGAAACCTGAAAAATGACTCATATATTATTGAAGGTGCTAGTTCAAAGTAAACATATACCAACAGTTCTCAACTTTACGTCTGTCTTGAACCTCATTATGCATGCCAAGGTTTTTTACTATTTTATTATCATCCAATAATAAAATGTATTACGTTAAGTAGACAATTTGGTAAGATAATTTAATCAGAATTCTTTTAAAATTAATACTGATCTTTTGTGATTCAATTTTGATATATAAAAAACTGTTATCTCTCACCTAAAACACTATATTTGATTCAAGATTTTGAAGTGTAAATTAACTATAGTTTTCAATCATCACGTATATCTTCATAAGTATACATTTACAAATTATTATTATAATTAATAATTAATGTTGTGAGGAACGATTGTTCTGTTAATCAATTTCGAAATAACATTAGAACAAAAAAATGTATTACATTTATTAGCATATTTGATTATATGTATGTAATATTTTGATATTGGAATAAATACATATTCACTTTTGTTGCATTATCTCTCAATTATAAAATGTATTATGTTTAAATATTTTAGAGAAGATCGTTGTAGACATATGGAAAAATAACGTTCGAGTACCATTACCAAGAAAAAGATATCATAATAAATTTCTAAAGGGGAGGTTCTCATAAAATTCGACCCGAAAATGTCAAAATTTTTATTTGCGTTTTTTAATAGTTTATTATGTGTAGAATAAGCCCCCATAAACGCCAGAAAAAGTTTTGCTTTATAAAAAAGTTGTGGTACAAAAAGCGAACCCACCTTTTTTCACTATAATCGACTAAAATTGCAACGAGTATTTTACGTCGATATCTTTGAAATTTGAACTTAAAAATAAATTTTTTAATGAAATATTACGAGATGGAGGAATAAATTTGTCAATTTATTATGTGTTAGGTTAAATTTTATACTCTACATTAGAGAGAAACTGTTATCAAACTTATTTAATATATCTTTGCCTGTTTTAATGATTTTATTATTAGTTTTTTTACACTAATCTTTATTATGTCTCTTTATATCATTCTTTTTATTTTTTTTGTTTAGGATTTCCAAATTTTATTTCTTGGAGATACAGATAAGTATAAAATTGTAGTATTTATTAATTATATTATAACTATATTCTCTCTCTCTCTCTCTCTCTCTCTCTCTCTCTCTCTCTCTCTCTCTCTCTTCTCTCTCTCTCTTTCTCGTTCTCTCTCTAGTTATAAGGTTACTGTATGCCGATAGAGTGTTGTACGTTTTTAAAAAAGGGGTGCTGTGCGCCTGCAAAGAAAGGGTGCTGTGCGCCTGTATATATAAATTTATTATTCGTTCATTTATAATAAAATGTCTGAAAAGAAAAAAGGTATTACTTTGGGACCTGTTGAAAGAAATATATTTGTCAGGGGTGAATGGCTTACAGATACACATATAGATCATTTTCAACAACTTTTAGCAAGTTGTTCAGATTATAAACCAGTCGAAACCTGGCGAATACAGTTACTAGATACTATACATGCTGTGTCAAAGGACACAAAACATATACAAATATTGCACAGTTCATCAAGTTCGTTAGATGGACATTGGGTATGGAGTTTTTACGATAAAAAAAATATATTTTTATACGATTCGTTGAATAGGAAAACATTGCATAATCAGCATAAGCAATTCTTGGCAAAATTATTTCCAACACATGACTTTAATAAAAAACCGGTTTTATTTCCTAAAGTACACCAACAACCGAATTATAACGATTGCGGTGTTTTTGCTATAGCTTTTGCAACTTCATTATTATTCAACATTAAACCTGATAAAGTGACATATGAACACAATTTAATGCGTTCCCATCTGATAAATATTTTGGAAACAAATTTAATTGAGCATTTCCCTCAAGATCCACAATTGAGTGCACAAAAAGTACTTCCATTAGCAGTAATACGAGCAAGAGAGTTTGAAGCGTCTCGTAAACGTACGGTGCGTTATCAGTTAAAGAAATCTTGTAATAATTATGCTATACAAAATGAGACTGAAGAAGTACAGTTATCTCAAAGTGCTACGAAGGAGAATTTAATTAAAAGATTAGTCACATACACACACAATAATATTCAGACTGAGCAAAATATACAGTCAACAGAAAGCGCTTCAAAAGAAATTATATTAAAAGAACTAGTCTCTCATACTCACAATAATACTCAGACTAAGCAAAATAATGATAAATGTAATAAGAATGTTGAAAATTCTAAAAATCTATGCCAAGAAGATTCAAGAAATAATTGCAATATAAAGCGTTGCTTAGACAATCAGAATTCAGAAAATAAACATGCTAAACGACGTTGTCAGTACAAAGATAATAAAGAAAATATTCAGACTGAGCAAAATATACAGTCAACAGAAAGCGCTTCAAAAGAAATTATAATAAAAGAACTAGTCATTCATACTCACAATAATACTCAGACTAAGCAAAATAATGATAAATGTAATAAGAATGATGAAAATTTTGGAAATCTATGTCAAGAAGATTCTAGAAATAATTTAAATAGAAAGCGTTGCTTTGACGATCAGAAATCAGAAAAAAAACGTGCTAAACGACGTTGTCAGTACAAAGATAATAAAGAATATATTTGTGCTAAAAAACGTGATAAATATCAACAGAATTTACCAAATAATCGAGCTAAAAAAGCGATACAAAGAAGATTTGATAAATAATCGTGCAAAACAAACACATCGTTATAAAGTGAATTTAGAACCAAATCGTGCTAAAAAAAGAATGCGTTACTCTAGAAATAGTCAGCACAAACGAGATCGACAAAAACTTTATTGTGATAGTAAATGGTTGTATAATAAACGATATTATGAAAAAAATAAATCAAAATCTAATCTTTTTAAAGAAAATCAAAATACTGCCAAAAATATTACTAGAAAATATGAAAAAGGCTCTAGCAGGTTAAGAAGGGGTCAATCGGCCCCCAAACGGATTATGACCAGCATGTCACCAAAAAGTTCGTTGACCCGAAAAAAAAATTTGGAGAAATTTTTAATTCCGTACACCACCCCTTTTCGGAGATATTGCCTTATGAAGTATTTTCATATTTTATTTTTGTCGCGAGACCTATCAGATACAATTTTATTAAAAAAATTTGGACATACAAAACGTATCAAAAGGTATTTGAAAATATTTTTTGCGAGATGTTCCAACCTAACCATAATTTTTTAAAAATTCCTGAAAATTTATAAGTGACCTCCTTTTGTTAGTTTATGATTGGCAACCTCGCAAAAATTCAAAAACATGTATTTTTAAACTTATTTTCATCCTGAATTTTTTCAGAATTTTTTGAACCCGGCATCATGCCTAAAAAAATTAAAACTCGCCTAAAAAGGCAAAAAATCGCCATAAAATATATATCAAGTATCCATAAAGCCCTAAAAGGCTCATAAGATAGCGTGCAGCATTCGCCATTAGTTTCGTTTAGTTTAGATATTTAGCGAAAATTATCAAGCCTGCTGAATTATTATCCAAATTATTCGATGC